CGCGCTTCCAGGTCCGCCAGTCGCGCAGCCAGCCGCAAGTTCTCACCAAGCATGGCATGCAGTGCCTGATGCGACTCTGCGAGAGACGGCTGAACGGTGTCGACAGAGTGCGTGAGGGCCTCTAAGAGCTTAGAACTCGCCAATATCTCGGCCAACTCCTGCTTACTTCATAGGTGTGAGACTCAGCAAGACTTCGATAGAACATATGCTTGGATCTGCACAACACTTACGATTTGTCTTGCAGGATCCCAGGCAGCCACTGGTCACCGGGGTCAATTGATGAGGATGTTGTTCTTATAGAATCATGTCGAGTGGCAGGTTGCCCGCCCGAGGAGTCATGCCCTTCTGCGGAAACAGCACCCTGATTCGGTGTTGTAGATGGCGACAATGGAGTGACTGGTGTGTTCAAGCGAGTTGGATCGTGGCTGCCTGGTTTTGGCGGGGGTACTGGAGGTGGAGGATCCTGCATCGCGAAGTTTGTAACCATTGGGGTTGACGTCCCAGGTTGAGTAAGGTGGCGATGAAATGCAACCAGTGTCAACAGACGACAACTTAAGTTGGGTCGCAGGATGATGGCAACAATGAGATGATGCTTCAGGGTCTCGACATGTACAACGAACATGCGCAGTGTGTACGTATACAAGCATAGTCATAGCCAAATGCAACTAAACGAAACCGTGTTGCATTGGGCAGAACCTGGATAAGCTAAGGTAAGGTAGTCACGGAGCAAGAAAGCGACCCCCAAGATTTTGCTTGCGCCTCGGGCTGTACCTGTGACTGAGGAGAAACATGGGCAATTGTTCACGACGATGGCTGGCTGTAGCATGAGCACTAGCTTTTGGCATCAGGCATCCGCATCATGCTTAGCTACCTTACTTTGACCACCAACGCCATCTGTCTCGCGTTCGCGTGCATAAATGTCTAGTGATCAAATCCGCTTGTCAATGTCACCAGGTCCACCCCGCCTAGTGACATTGCGTCCACCATGTAAGTATTGTTGTGGGCACCTGTCCAGCTCAAGCCGCTCTTCTTGTGCATGCCTCGACCGACCCATCAGCATAATCCGATAACTGTACCAGAGACACAGCGCATGGCTCATCAGTACAACTCATGACCTAACTGACCATAGGTCCCTCGACCATCCCATCTCTCGCATTTTTTTACTGCTCGAGGCGGCCGCCTTCTTCTCCCCAGAGACGATGGCCAGGGCTTTGCTGCATGCAGCAAATGCCTCTACCAGCTCTTTCATCCTGTTCCCCTTCACGAAACAGGCGGTGATATCGGAGTCTTTCTGAGCCATAACTGCTGCAAGATCCATGCATTCGAGCAAATTGTCCCTCGAAACACACGTTCCTGCAAAATGGAGCGTACTGATATACGCCAGTATAGTCTCGGGAAGATAGGTGTCACGGAGCGCCTGCAGGCATCGCGCATCGTCTTCTAGACAGAAAGTCAGCAGCTGGTATTCCAAAGAAGTAGGTCTATAGTTGCTCACCGTCAACCAAGAGCCAACCCTTGAACATCGGCTCTACATATTCCTTAGCGTTCTTGACTTCATTGCCGACCTGATTCCAGAAATCGCGCTTGGCAGTAGGATCCCTGAGACAGGTTAGTCATAAGTCTCGAAAAAGGAACATCCTGTCAGCAACATCAATACTTACTCTCGCGACAACTCTGTTAGCGAAGCGATCGTTTCCATGGTATCGAGAGCCTTGACTAGGCATTCAAGGTCGCGGAAAATCCTAGCCTGGGTGGCTAGCAGCCTTGACGAAGTTTGCCTGTCGCCAATTGCTTCGAGCTGGTCGGCCCAGAAGGCGTCATCGATATCCGGGACCTGTGCGATGTCCGCCTCTTCCTGTCCGCCAGGACTGATCCTTTGTTGCAAGACTTGACTCATAGTGACCCTATTTGCAAGTTGTCGGGGCAGCATTCAGGCGCATGGTGCCTGTGAGAACTGTCAGTTGATTTGGTTGTTGCCAAGGAGGGTTTGACGAACCTAAGAGGTACTTTGTAAACCTGAACGCCGACGAGAAAAACATCAGGCCAAGCCTCATCCCCAAGGAGAAGCCATTCCAGTGAACGGATCAATAGCTCTTCTTCTTCCGAGATCGCATCGGGGTCTTCACCAAAGAAATCTATCTTGATGAGGCGGCCGTATTTAAGAGAGCCAGGGCCAGCTTCGATGATTCGGAAGGGCTCTCTCCTGCTGCCAATTTCTTGTTCAACGTTGCCTAGCTGGCTCAGTATGAGCCGTGGTTGCATCCTAACGAATCGAAGTACGTCAAGACCTGATTTCTGAACAAGCTCAAGCTGGTTTAGCCGCGCGTCGCGTTCTGTGAGATGTCGGAGATTGACGCTGAGGACCTCGTAAGCCCGGGGTATCGACAGTTTTGAACAATACAAGGGTATCAGCTCTTCGTATTGTGCGAGTCGAAGCAAAGTAACATAGGAGCTGATGACGGTTTCTTGTATGGCACGTGTCTGCGGTTCACGCTCGAGCGTTGGTGATAGTGAGGTTGAAACGTCAAGCTCGTCGAGGGTGGAAAGTACAATAAGAACGTGAACGGCCACACGGAGGGTATCATAATCGCGCCCATTCACGAACCCATTTGTATCAGCCTCGGTATTGGTAGGTTCAGTATCAACCTCCCCCCGTTCCCTCGCCAATACCATGCCTTGTTGGAGAAAGTGTTGACTAGTTTCTCTTGTGATCAGAGCCGCCTGTAGCACCTTGAGTGGCATCGAAGCTTCGCCGCGCGTAAGCTTGTGGACCTTTAGCGATCTGATAAGTCGCTTCTCGGCTGTAGACTCTTCACCATGATACTGGACAGCATCGAAAACGGCGAACTGTTGGTCGATGTTGGCAGACATTTCCGGTTGACATTGCTTAAGGACATAATTGTCGAACTGGCTGCGTAGAAGTGCATTGTAGTGCATGAACATGAAGTCATCCCACGACTTGCAGACTTTCTCTACGCTCTGAATGTCGCCAGCCAAAACACCATAGACGGCGGATTCGACCTCGTCAGTGCCTGCATGCCTTGCGGAAGCAAAGCACATGCGTCTCCAAAGAGCGATAGAAACGGCATCTTCCTTTTGAATAACTGCATCACCTGTGCCTGCTAAAGGAAGGGCTGACAGGGATACAGCACGCCAGGTCTCTGTACGTTCGGTACACCATTCTTGTATCTCGGCCAAGGTGCAGCCGCGTCGAAGCAGCTGGAAACAACCGACCCAAATGGCTCGCTCGAAGAACTCATCCTGTGGTTCGAGCTTACGTGACTGGCGAGTCACAGCATCTGGGTCGAGCTGCGATACCAGTGGAGCCTTGTCAGATGTCACCAACGATTGAACAACGTTAGCGGCAAGGGGATCCAGAGGACGCGAGGCTCCGAGAAGATCTTTGTGCAGCTTGAGAAGCTGTCCGCGTATGGATGCACCCGTG